CACTTCCCTACAAAAAGAGAGATACTCTAATTTGTGATGAGTATTTACGATCCGTTGACTCACAAACCGTTCTATCCTGGATCAAATCTGACCACCGTAACTACAAACAATTCGTAGCTCATCGCATAGGTGAAATGCTAGACACCACTACAAATAACCAATGGCGTTGGGTGCCATCGCTTCAGAACCCCGCAGATGAAGCTACGAAAGATGTAAAACGAAAATTCATTTGGCTAAATGGACCAGGATTCTTACATCTACCCGGTCACCAATGGCCAGCGGAGAAAGCTAATTTGGAAACGGCCGAAGACAAGAGAGAAATAGTGGCAATGCATTCGAAAGTGGAACAATACAATTTCATTCAAGAAAACCGCTATTCCAACTGGTGGAAGTTGGTACTACATCTATGCATTCTAAAAAGTTCATCGATCGGCTGAAAAACAAGCAACGATTTTCAACTACTATCACTCGGAAAGATCGAGAGACAGCCGAAGCAGTTCTACATCGTAAAGCACAATGGGAAATGTTCCCGAATGAGATGACCTTACTAAAAACAGCCGTTTAACACAAAAGGGAAATTTATCCAGTTTGTGTCCATTTCTGGATGAATTAGGAGTAATGAGGAGTAAAGGACGTCTAGAAAATGCAGCTTCTATACCAGAGTCAGCCCGACGACTTATAATTCTGCCACAAAAACACCACATTACACACCTTATCGTAAAATCATATCACGAAAAATATCTCCATCATGGAGATGAAACAGTTATTGGAGCTCTTCAAACGAAATATTCCCCCCTATTCTGCGAGTCACGTGACTCTCTCTCACCGGTGAGGTGACAATAGTCACCTCGTGTGAGGTGACTCTCCATTTGATTTGCATGGAGAGTCACCTCACACGAGGTGACAATTGTCACCTCACCGGTGAGAGAGAGTCACGTGACTCGCAGAATAAGGGGGATTGGGTAATAACGACACGCGCAGTTCTCAAAAATGTAAAGAAGTACTGCCAAAAATGTATAATTTTGAGAGCCAGACCAAACCCTCCAGTGATGGCAGCGCTACCTGATTTTAGAGTCAAGCGGCATTTACCCTGCGTTTCGGTCAGAGAGGTCGTTGTGCCAATTTGGTCGTGGCACATTTCGAGTATCAGAGAGTAACTGCAGTTAGATCACATGTGCCAGAGAAAAAATGCAAATACTTTCGCAGATTACCCGAAGTTGCAATAGTGAAGGTATGATCACAGACAAGCAGACATAACACTCTTAAAACTTTCATCGAAATCTTTTTTAACGGTCAATTTAAATGTTTCTTAGTTGGTAGTACTGCCACTTGTGGTGCTCATAATCAATTCCCTAGCGTTTGACGTTTACACACTACAACGTGCTACAACCATCTGTTGAGTGTATTGCCCATCAAAGTATATACGACAGATGGCGGTAGGGTTTACAATGATAAATGGTCAATGTGTTGTGTTTGCTTGTCTGTGAATTAACATGGAGGTAACGTTAGGATAAAATCAAAACATTGAGAAATATAACGCATCACTTTCAGAAATATTTCACTTCGCAACCGATGAACCATTCTGACGGCCATATGAGTACCCAAGTAACCATATAGTCGCAATATAGCTTGAATATTCTTACTTTGCTTGACTATGGTTAGTTGGGGAATCTGATGAAAGTGTCACTTCTTGAAACTGATCCCTTTCGTATTTCTTTCATTCTCTTTTCGCACACGGAGCGCTCGGTTAAACAGCGACTTTGAACGTGAGCCTCGTCCCAGATCACCATGGCAATTCATTTCAATTCAATGAAACCGTCCAAAAAAGGCGGATTCATATTAGAACTAACCAAGGACGATCTACGGAAGGAAATTGCCGGTGAAGCACGGAGTGAAATACGAAGCGTTAGAGAAAAAGTCCAAGGGATTCCAAAAGAAGTAATCAACGACGGCGGAAGAGCAGAATATGGTGAGAGCTTTCCAATTATTAAAAAATATATATAGGGGAAATGACGGCTTCGGCATGACAGACTATTTTCGGCAACCCAAATTGAAACACTATTTTCACTGGATTTTCTTACGAAAACACTTCGCTGAATGCATGCAAACGACTCTTTATGCTTTCAGCTTCAATTTGACTATATTTTTACCACTGAGAAAAAGCAATCTAGCAGGGTTTTCTTGAAATGAAACACACGCACTACAAATTGTAGCTGATTTCGAGTTGCCGATAATAGAACAGCAGATTTACATGCAGTTCAAATGGAACGGTTGCCGAAGAAAAACTGGTTGCCGACAATACTCGCTGTCACTAGAGAAGATTGGAGCTTTGTAAAAGCGTTTCAAAACAGTTTTTGACAATTCTTTCGACTGAAATTGTTAGAGCAGCTGGCAGCAAAAGATTGTAAACAAACCAATACTGCATATGTGTGCGTTCCATAGAGAAAAAGGCTATAGAAAGAAGGTCGCTGCTTAGGTTGCCGAGAATACGTAAATTCCCCTATCAAAATTAAACTAAACACATGCCAGGTTTGAAAAAATATATTTTCGAACCTGGAAGCGTGTATGTAATACCAATATCCATTTGATAGCGGTGATGCATACATGCGGGGCTTATTGTAAGTGAAAGTAACCTCGGAATGGGCGTGACTCTCCAGACATTCTGAAATGGGCTGCTGGATCTGCAATAGAGCTATCACCTTCTAACTCCCGGACTAAAGCTGTCTACAATGACCATAAATGCGACACTGTAGAGAGAGTTCTTCTAAAATAACACTGCCGGCCAGTGGGGGTTAGATTGAATACACACACACATACACATACACAAGCTATATCTACATCCATTTACGCATACAGGAGTCCATTTGATGTTAGCATCCGAAGGTCCACCGAAAAAAGATGGGGAGTATTAAGTTGTTCAGGAGGTCAAGGTCTTTTGGCTGGTAAACAGTAGTTCAGATTTTTCTCACTACGCTGCGCTAGTATACACGTGCAATCCTCATATATGCTACAGCTGGAGATCCCGAACAGCTAGAAAATTACTATCTTCGGCAAAGTTGTTTAGGAGATCAAAGCTTTTTTTTGCTGGTGAACAGTAAGGGGCTGTCCATAAACTACGTAGACAGTTTAGGGGGGAGGGATCCTCTCTACTTAGTATTTCCCAAAAAAAATTCCAAAAGGAATCAGAAAAACAAAATTGTGGAAAGAAATAGCTGATGAGATCATGTTGCCAAAAACGGGAAGGCACTGTATATCTCTGTAGGGGAAATGTTGGCTTCGGCAATACCTTAACCTATTATCGTCAGGGAGGTAAACAACGTCCTTGAGAGCTCAATTTTGGCATGTGGATACATTGTGTTTCAGAGCATCAATTGGCCAAATTTGAGTGCTCTAGGACTTTGTTTACCCCCCTGACGATCATAGGTTAAGGTATTGCCGAAGCCAACCTTTCCCCTATATATTTTCGTGATGATTCAGTAGACCGAATGCCACTAGGCCGAATGGGACACTAGACCGAATGGGTCATTAGACTGATATTCTTGTTCACTTTTCATGATCATCTGCTTTGTTCCAGATTATGAAAATAATCGGCAGCTAATGACGTAGGCATAATTATGACGATGCAAAATCTTGAAACTCGAACGAAATGCTCAAAATTGAAAGAAGGGAAACGCTGGTAGGAAAAATGATTTCCTAAAAATTCATCAGCAGAAAAGATGCTTATAGCCGAGAATCTCGGAAATGTTTCCATGCACGGAGCTGCTATCCTTAGGGAGGGCATATTAGCTTCTTTTAAAGTTTGAACTTCAAATGCGTGCTCGTATTTTTCTCCAACAATTTTGATATTTAAAAAAAGAAATTTGTTTTTGAAGAATCGGAAGAAAAATAAATAAAGATAGGGGAATTTACGCGTTCTCGTCAATCTGAGCAGCGTCCGCGATTCTATTCTTTGGCAACCTTCCCATATGAAATGCGTTTTAACCAGCTGTTCTTTTATTGGCAACTCGATATCAGCCGCAATTTGAAAAAACAAATCTGGTGTAATAGGATTTCTCAGTCGACAATCATTTACCTACATTCATTTGCCTCTAACTTTTTTTCATCAACAGAATTCCGTAAAATTTAGTAACAAACTTTTGTAGGTTTTGATATTAGCAAAAAACTTTTGTTATTAACTCAAATCTGTATCTCTTATGCAAACCAAAGCGGGAAGAACCCACCATTGTTTTTTTTAGTGAATGTAAACTGCAATCACTGAAAAACAATAACAAGTTCTGTCCGCTCTAGATAGTCATGCATAAGATATACAGATTTGAATTGTTGACAACATTTGCAGCTAATATCAAAACCTACAAAAGCTTGATCCGTCTTTTGATGGGATTCTGTTGAAGAAAAAAGTTAGTGGCAAACGATTTTCCATGCCTGTTCAAGATAATATAGTATTCCTGTACATAGGATAGCATTTAGCATACAATTTGAATTGAAAAATAATGAAAAGGGACATAAGGGCATACCCTTCAACGACAACTTGTTTCGGTTATGCACGCTAACAAACGAACAATCAAAGATCTCAAGACTCCTCGCGAAACCAATCTTGACCGGTGTGTTCCTGTGTGTCTTGTGTTCGTGTTCCAGTTGTTTACAAGCTAAAAGATCAGTTTCAGGTTTGAACCATGGTGCGGAACACTGCAGTAGGTACGTTCATTAACTCTAATCGTATTCAGTGTGTGTGTGAGTGTGTGTTTCTGCATGTGTGTGAGTGTGTTTGTGTTTTTTTTTTCGTATTCATTCTAAACCAGTTCCAGTCTCTTTAAAATTTGTTGAAGTAGCAATGCTAGTTTGAGAGTATCTAGCGCAACATTGTTTGTTATCCGTAATAGTTTTGTATAGTATGGTAAATATAGAGTATGTATAGTATGTACTTTAAATACGCGCTCGGTGAAAACTTACCGCTATAAATGCAACACTCTTGTTTTATGTTTTGTTTTCTCTTCTCTCTCTCTCTCTCTTTGTCTGTTATTACTATATAACATCGGCTGATTTGTGTGTATGTGTAGAAAAAAACTAACAACTTGATCACATGAGACGAGAGAAACGCTTATTAGGAAACGGAAACAGAGTTTGAATTTTTGTTTTGTTTTGTTTTGTTTAACTGCTTGTTGGTTTTAAGTTGTTTTGTAATATTCGACAATCGTTTTCGATTTCCAGCGAATGAGAGTTTCCTAACACCTTCGCTACTGTTACCGTCTGATTATGGTTTTCAATTTACAACTAGAGATAACCATTACTGCTATATACATATACACACACGTAATGTAATTTTTCGAGTCTTTTTGTTGTGTTTTCTTTTACGGTCAAAATCAGTACAACACTACTACCATCACTGAAAGAATCAAGATCAAGGTGGAATGATTATCATAATCGACTTTTCGGAATGAGCGAAATGGCAAATGAGTTGTTCTTCAATTCTTATTGATAGAAATCGTAGTTGTGCGTATTCGGAAGTGATATCGAACGCGAAATGGATTGGCTAAGAGAATAGAATTGGAAAACGTCACATTCTCTCTACGAAAACCCACTTGTTTTTTACCTTTTGCTAAACATAAACAGATATGTGAATTACTAGTTAAACAAGTTTTTCCTTAACATCTCTAACGAATCCCACTACGTCTTAACTCTGATGGTTTACTACAATGTATTTTTTTTTTGTTTGAAAGTACACGTATTTTATGAGTCTTTGAGTTAATTTTCATTTCACTTAAGTCGTTTATCGTCCACTTTTCGCTTTCATTTGCTTCTGATGTCTTTTGTATGTTTTTTTTTTTATTTTAGAAATAGGCCATAAGTTGAATCGCTCCAAATTGCTCTAAATAAAGAGCAGTGTTGGGGTAAAATAGTACTTAAAACAAGAAAGGAAATTGCACGTGGCATTGCGAGACTTTGCGGAAGGTTTTCTCCGCCCAGGTGGACCCAAAACTATAATTTTGTACAATTGTGTATCAATTTAATTGATGTCAGTATTTCGCCTTCCTGTACACAATTTCGGAATGCATTCACTAAATCCTAAAAACTCGTCGTGCCCACCTGGGAGCCTTCCAAATCAAAATAATAGCAGTTGATAGCATTAAAAAAAAAAACAATGGAAAGGAAACTGAGTGAGATCACACAGGAAAGATCAGTCGGAAGATCAGAATCACAACGTACAGTAGCAGCGAGACGACCAGCGCAAACAGCAGCATCCAGTCCAGCACGTCCAGGTGATTATATTTCGACTTCAACTGGCATGTATCAAAAATAGATTACCTCTTCCTCCTTGCCCTTGGTGGAGTCCTTCTTGTTGCTGCCGTTGTTGTTATTGCTGCTGTTGCCCCCACCGCCGCCACTGCCGATGTTACCGATATCGGCTGGGGACGAGGACGAACCACCCACCGGCGGAGGCGACTGGAGGCTGGAGTGGCGCGAGGAAAGCGGAGTCGTGTGCATCGAGTGGTGCTGCGGGTGGAACTGATGATGATGATGTTGATGCTGATTTTGGTTGTGGTAATGATGTTGCTGCAGGTATTGCTCGTGGATCGACGCCGATCGTTGCGAGGATGTGTGCGAAGGCGACGGCGATGAAGGCGAGTGCGGATGCGATTGCGGGCTGCTGCTGACGCCGTAGTGGTGCTGCGGGGATTGGTAGGTGTCCGAACTTCGCAGCCGATACCGTTCCGGGATTTTCGGGTACGTGTTGGTTCTGTGCGGGCGAGAAGGGGTAGGTGAGAGTTAGTATAGTTTTGGGAAAATCCATGACAAAAGCTCAAATGGACAGAAGGTCGAAGGGACAAAAGCTCGAATGGCTAAAGTGTCGAAGGTCAAAGGACAAAATGTAAAAGAACAAAAGGTCAGAGGAAAAAAGGTCAAAGGACAAAAGGTCAAAAGACAAAAGGTCAAAGGACAAAAGGTAAAAAGGCAAAAAGTCGAGTGGACAAAAGGTCAAATTGAACTTAGAGAGACAAAAGGTCAATTTGACAAAAGGTCGATTAGACAAAAGGTCGATTAGAGAAAAGGTCTAATTGAACTTATAGGGAAAAAAGGTTGAATAGATAAAATGCCGAAATGGACAAAAAATAGCAGTGGACAAAAGTTCAAAAAATCAACAACAAAATTTCCAAAAAATGTATAGACAAACACAAAACTAACAAAATACTATGTCAATACTTCCAAAGAATTACTCATGATTTAAAGAAGGAACATATTCTGAAGAAAGATAGTCATTTTTCTCTTAAATAGCCGTGACACGCACAGAATCTATTTGATTTCTTGATTTTCCACACAACTGGTCATGATTTAAAAAAAAAAAATGTTTGAGAGTTAGCCTCCCATTTTATCCTCCATCAATTTGACCAGTTTATTTTTTTTAACCTTTTGTCCAATTCAACTTTTTGTCCATTCGACCTTCTGTACATTCTACCTTTTATCCATTTCGACCTTTCGTCTATTCGACCTTTTGTCTATTCGACATTTTGTCTATTCGACCTTTTGTCTATTCGACCTTTTGTCTATTCGACCTTTTGTCTATTCGACCTTTTGTCGATTCGACCTTTGGTATATTCGACCTTTTGTCTATTCGACCTTTTGTCTATTCGACCTTTTGTCTATTCAACCTGCTTTTTATTAGACCTTTTGTCTATTCGAACTTTTGTATCTTTGACCTTTTGTCTATTCGACCTCTAGTCTATTCGAACTTTAGTCTATCCTACCTTTTGTCTATTCGACCTTTTGTCTATTCGACATTTTGTCTATTCGACCTTTTGTCTATTCGACCTTTTGTTTATTCGACCATTTGTCTATTCGACTTTTTGTCTATTCGACCTTTTGTCTATTCAACTTGCTGTTTATTAGACCTTTTGTCTATTCGAACTTTTGTATATTCGACCTTTTGTCTATTCGACCTTTAGTCAAATTGACCTTTTGTCTATTCAACCTTCTGTTTAATCTATATTTTGTCTATTCGACCTTTTGTCTATTCGATATGTTGTCTATTCGACCTTTTGTCTATTCGACCTTTCGTCTATTCAACCTTCTGCTTATTCGACCTTTTGTCTATTCGACCTTTAGTCTATTCGAATTTTAGTCTATTCGACCATTTGTCTATTCTACCTTTTGTCTATTCGATATGTTGTCAATTCGACCTTTTGTCTATTCGACCTTTTGTCTATTCGACCTTTTGTCTATTCGACCTTTTGTCTATTCGACCTTTTGTTTATTCGACCTTTAGTCTATTCGAACTTCAGTCTATTCTACCTTTTGTCTATTCGATCTTTTGTCTATTCGACCTTTTGTCTGTCCGACCTTTTGTCAAATTGACCTTTTGTCTATTCAACCTTCTGTTTATTCTATATTTTGTCGATTCGACCTTTTGTCTATTCGACCTTTTGTCTATTCGACCTTTTGTCTATTCGACCTTTTGTCTATTCGACCTTTTGTCTATTCGACCTTTTGTCTATTCGACCTTTTGTCTATTCGACCTTTTGTCTTTTCGACCTTTTGTCTATTCGACCTTTTGTCTATTCGACCTTTTGTCTATTCGACCTTTTGTCTATTCGACCTTTTGTCTATTCGACCTTTTGTCTATTCGACCTTTTGTCTATTCGACCTTTTGTCTATTCGACCTTTTGTCTATTCGACCTTTTGTCTATTCGACCTTTTGTCTATTCGACCTTTTGTCTATTCAACCTTTTGTTTATTAGACCTTTTGTCTATTCGAAATTTAGTCTATTCGACCATTTGTCTGTTCTACCTTTTGTCTATTCGACCTTTTGTCTATTAGACCTTTAATCTATTCGACTTTTTGTCTATTCGACCTTTTGTCTATTCGACCATTTGTCTATTCGACATTTTTTCCATTCAGCCATTGTTTTGTTTGCTTTTGAGGTTGCTATAAGAGTTGTTTTGATGGAGATTTTGGCAGAATAGATATATAAGTTATAAATTAATGCACTTTTATGCTTAATTGGGTGTGCAGTTATTTTTTTCTTAATTCGAATTTTAGAGATTTTCCATGTAATGATAATCAACTTTTTAGCGAGAAGCAAGCAACTTTCTGTATAAATATTTCAATTGGAACCAATTGGCCAGATTGTTTTTACTGAAGCTCTATACATATCTCTGAAGTCCTATAAGTCCTATAAGCCTCCAATGACGTTCTTAAAAGCAACGTAAAATCCTCCAAACGTTCCGGGAACTTATCGGCAGTTTTGTGAACCTGTCAGGCTATCGATGAACTTCTTTGAAATTCCAATAATTAGTCGGAAAATCCTTAAGCTTATCTGAAGTTTCGTGAACAAGGCAGCAGAAGCTTAAACTAGTTGGAAGATCCTTGAACTAATCAGAAGTTCCGTGAAATAATTGGAAGACCTTTGCACTTTTTAGAAGTTCCGAGAACTTGTCGGAAGACGTATGCAATTTTCAGAAGTTATAAGTGAGGTTATGAGAGTTTGTCGGAAGATCTGTGAACAGTAAGAAGTTTCGTGGACTTATCAGAAGTTGGAAATGTCGTTACCTTCCGAGAAGTACATAAAAATTCCAGTTCATACAACTTCCGACAAGTTTATACAACTTCCGAGAAATTCACGAGATTTCCAAGAAGTTGACGGAACTTCTGATAAATTGACGTATATTCCGACAAGTTGACGGAACATCCGACACGTTTACGGAACTTTAGACAAGCTCATAGATCTTGAACTTCGAAAGGTCACCGCACTTTTCAGGGAGTTCCGAGGAAGCTTCATAAAAGCTACCTCTAGTCGCCTCTGAAGTTCCCTTAAAACTTGCCAGAAGTTCTTTTGCAACTTGTCTGAAGATCCCTCGGAACATACTCAAGAGGTTTCACGGACCTTCCCAGAAGTTCCTTCCCATGTTCCTACAAGTTATCCTAAATCGTCCAAAAAGTTCCCGCGGAACTTTTCAAAAAGTTCCATGAAGCTTCTCAAAAGTTCCCTTGAAGCTTTAAAAGCTCCATCAAAACATACCATAAGATCCTACTAGAAACTACTCAGAACTTCGCATGAATCTATGTCAAAGGTCAGACGGACAAAAGATCGAATCAACAAAAAGTTGAAGGTACAAAAGGTGGAATGGACAAATGGGTGAATTGAACTTAGAGGGACAAAAGGTCAAATGATAAGCATGTCGAATTGAACAAAAGGTTGAACGGACCAAAGATTGAATGTTACTAAGATGAACAAAAGGTCGAATAGACAAAAGGCCAAAATGAACAAAAGGTCGAATGAACACAAACGGTCGAATTGAACCTAGAAGTACAAAAGGTCGAAGGGACAAAATGTTAAATAAACAAATGGTCGAATTGAACAAAGAGGGACAAAAGGATGAATTTAACTTCGAAGGAAAAAAGGTCGAAATGGACAAAAAGTCAAGGTGGACAACAATTAAAAAAACCAACATCAAAATTTACAAAATATTGTTTAGGAAATTATCGCTCTTAAAAAGAACTTTATGAAAATACTATGCCAATACTCTTAAGAAACTTTTCCTTGAGAGTTAGCCTCCCGTTTAATCCTCCTACAAATTTACCAGTTTGTTTTGACCTTCTGTCCATTTCGACCATGTGTTCATTTGACATTTTTCCATTCAACCTTTCGTTCATTCGACCTTCGGTCAATTCTTGCTTTTATTCATTCGACCTTTTATCCATTCGACCTTTTGCCAAGCGAAAATTTTGTCCATTCGACCTTTTATCCATTCGAGCTTTTTTTTCTTTCTATTTGATATTTTGTTCATTCGACCTTTTGTCCATTCAACCTTCTGTCAGTTCTTCCTTTTGTCAATTTCAACCATCTATTCATTCTACCTTTTGTCCATTCAACCTTTTATCCATTCGACTTTTTATCCATTCGACCTTTTTTCCATTCGACCTTGTGTCCATTTCAACGTTTTGTCCACTTCTACACTTTTTGCATTCGACCTTTTGTACATTTCAACCTTTTGTCCACTCGACCTTTCGATCCTTCGAACTTTTTTTTCCATTTCGACCTTTTTCCATTCGGCTTTTTGTCGATTGGACCTTGTGATTATTTTGACCTTTTGTCCATTTGACCATTTATCTCTCTAAGTTCAATTGCCCATTCGACCTTCTATACAGTCTACATTTGTACATTTGTTTTTTTTTTTTCTATATTCGACCTTTTGTCCTTTCGACCTTTTGTCCTTCGACATTTTCCTTCGACATTTGTTCTTCGACCTTTTGTATATTTGACATTTTGTATATTCGACCGTTCGTCCATTAGACCTTTCGTTCATTCGACCTTTCGTCCATTTGACCTTTTGTTCTTCGACCTTTTGTCATTCGACCTTTTGTCCTTCGCCCTTTTGTCCTTCGACCTTTTGTCCTTCGACCTTTTGTCCTTCGACCTTTTGTCCTTCGACCTTTTGTCCTTCGACCTTTTGTCCTTCGACCATTTGTCTTTCGACCTTTTGTCCTACAACTCATGAAGCTTCTCAAAAGTTGCCATGAAGCTTGCAATGTTCCCTCAAAACATACAAGAAGATCCCCTGAAACTATTCGGAATTTCACATAAACTGTTCCGAAAGCTTTATCGTAACGGTCCGAAGTTTATTCCAAACAAACTTCTGGAAAGTTTCGAGGAAACTCTTATACCGATCTTCCCTGAATTTCTTGCGGAACTTCCATTAAAATTGCCATTTAGCTTCCTCTGCACATTTCTGACATTCCCT